GGCTTTGCTCCCGGTGCCTCTGGTCTGCTGGGGACCGTCTCCAGCAGACCAGGGACACCAGGAGCAAAGCCGGGGAGGCGGAGGGGCGCTGGGGTATAAGACGAAAACCTTTTAACTAAAAAATTAGGGGGTCGTCTTATACGCCCAGTAGCCTTATACGCCGGAAAATACGGTAGGTACGAGCCACTGTTATTTGCCACCAACTACTCAGAGAAGTTCCCTATTGTGCTAGATGCTGTATAAAAACAGAGAATGAATATGTCCCATAGAATTTGCAATCCAAGACCCTAATCTTCCAATGCATCACAAACACATAAGTGCACACAGATATCAAGATAGATGCGCTGCAGATCAAGCCTAAAACAGCAAATCATACTTAAAGGGTAAAGGGGAAGGACAAAAGTCAATGTACATTTTTTGTCCTTTGAGGTTTTTGTTTTTAAAAACACACCTAGACTTGCTTTTTAACTGGATAAACAAATGCTGGTGAGCAATACTCCTCAGCCTATTCATGATTAGTTGATTTATAACTTGTATGTGTAATGGAAAAAATCTCTCTCAATTTGGGAAGAGAGCAGTTCCATTTTTAAAACTACAAAGGACTAAACTTGACAGTGGGTATGAATTACTTCCCTGCCTAGCCCAAGCTGAGAAACTTGGTACACTGACCTGTTGGCTGCACAAAGCTAAAAATATAGTCAGCTGCTCCTAACCCAACCCAACACACATACATAGAACAATACAGATTTTTAAGTGGCCACAATACCACCTCTAAGTTCTTACATATCTATGTAAAGGCTGTGTAGCCTAGCAGAACAAAGCTTTGATATATTAAAACTAAGTCATTTCAGTAAAGTCTTCATGCTAAAGTTCCCCCAGTCTACCACTGAGTATTTAATGGCTGTTGCTACTCTGAACAGATGTACTTATCTCTTCAGCAGAAAGCTGATAGTTGTTTCTAACAATCCTAGCTTATTCTGACTCTTCCACTCAAGGGCCAGACATACCGAATGAGTAGGAAGAGGGTCAAAGGATAGGTATATAACTTTGTCCAGATGCAGTGAATCAAAAGGGCAGGGCCTGGATTCTTTGGAGAAAATATGTAAGCCAAGGGTCAGATCCAAAGATGCTGAAAGCCAGTACATTTCCATTAAAGTGGGTTGACAGTTTGAATGCAGGCCTTCCAGGCATTTATGACAATATTCCAGTACTTGAGATGTTGTCTTGCCCTGCTTTCCCTTTGCCTTCCTTAAAGCCTGCAAAAACAAAAAGGGATTACAGGAAAGGCGTTCACAAGTGGAAATGTCTATTGGGTGGAGAATTCATCCTGTGCTAGCTCTCCCATTTCCAGGGCACATTGAGAAAATCATGTTAGACAAATACAAATGAAGACTAAGATCGAGGTTAACAAATAGCTACACAACAATTATTCCACAATCTCCTTTAACTGCCACACCTGCAGGTGATTTCCACCCCACCTGTACACCCAACTTGACAGGTTCCATTACCCCAGAATGTGGTGAGCTGTGATTTGAGGATAGGAGGAAGTGGTTTTGACAATCTACAGAGACCAGATTATCAGAGGAATTTGTTTTTCATGTTTCTTGCTAGTTAACAGATCACTGCTGTCACGTGTGCATTTATCAGAGGCGTAGCCATGTTAGTCTGAATCTGCAAAAGCGGCGAGGAGTCTTGTGGCACTTTATAGACTAACAGAAGTGTTACAGCATAAGCTTTCGTGGGCAAAGACCACATGCATCTGACGAAGTCGGTCTTTGCCCACGAAAGCTTATACTCCAACACTTCTTTTAGTCTATAAGGTGCCACAGGACTCCTCGCCACTTGTGCATTTACTCTCTTTTCTCAGAAGGATGGGAGATTTTTTTAAAAGCTTCTTTCAGTTGTGTTAGAAGAGCGTGAGTTTAGCACACACGAACGAGGATCAACCAGAAAAAGCAAACTAGCCTCTCTCCAAGATTCCAGGAATAGATGGACTTTCAAAATGCTAGCCTCAGGTGCCATCTTCAAGTCTTATGAATAACTGCTCAGGGAGGACAACTATACATTTTCAGGTGAAGGTTTCAGTTCCACTCCAACTCAAACACAATAAAGCTGAAATGGAAGGACAAAAGATCCTCCCCAATCTTGGAATCCCCTGCCACACAAGGAAAACTTAAAAAGATAAATGAATACTTAATTTGAGAATACCACAGATGATAACCAAATAGAGTGCCATCCTACCTAAAATTAGTAAGTGGGTTATCTAACAAGCTAGACTAGTGTGACAAAGAATCCCTTTGACAAAGAGCCCCCCATTCTTACACCAAACACGTCTTACCCTTTATGGATACTTTGCAACAGATATGGTATCCCCAGAAAACTCAAATTATCAAGAATGACTCAACCCGTGAGATGTGTGTGCAGGTAACATTTAAGGAATGGTGTATGTTAAAAGTATGCTTCATGGGCCTGGGGTAAAAGTTAGTGACAAAGGGAGAATATATTTTGGTGATGGCCTGCTCAAGCTGGAGGAAGTTGTCACTCCTCCTGGTTAATCAGTGATGTAATGCAAGGCTCAACTGTCTAGCTTTGTTCCATATTTCAGTGAAAAACTATGGCAAACAATCACTTGGAAGTAAAAAACATTACACCAGACAGGGGACTGACCTGCCTATGCATAAAGACAAGAGGCTGTTTCAATATAACAAAGTGGACAGAAACACACTGCAGCCATTAATGGAAGAAACATCTTATGGCGTGGGAGACAGCCAGTTCTGCAACAGACTGTATGAACTCTGGGGAGAAATCTACTTTATTAGATCAAGTCTAAACTTACTAAGAGATACTTTTCCTAGTTCATGTTTTAGGATTGTTTTATATTGTAATCCTGTTTCCATCACTTGCTCTTTCTAACTGAATCTCTCTTCCTCTTTAAATAATTTTTTTTAATACAAGTGCTGTGCATTACTCAGGAGCAGCGATTATGGGTAAAATTAGTAAAGCGTGGTACCCTGCTCCTTTGGGGGCAGACATCACAGGGGAATACTTCAAAGAATCTCAAGGACTGGGGTGCACCCACTGTTAGCCTGTAAGGTGAAGGCAGAGCTGGTACACCCTACAGGGGAGCTCTTGAGTAGCTATCTGGCTGGTGGTGTTAGGAGTTCAAAACCCAACCATCTTTATGCAAGTCTCCTCTAGCCTATTGTCTCTACATGGCCATGTTGAAGCCCCTCCATCAGATATCCGATTTCCTTTGGACCTTGGATTCCAAGCACTTAGCATCAGAAGCTGTAATAGAGTTGCAATCATACGAAAGCTGGAGAGGCTGAAGGGTTTCTCAGCCTTGCAGCATAAAGAATATAAGATCTCACTACCAAGGCATATGAAGTCTTTCCAAGTTAGAAATTGTCTTCCCTTGTAGTCTAGTAGATCATTTAATCTCCAATATGAAAGTCAAGGAATAAGAACAAAAGCTGCCCAAGAAAGATTGTCTCCAAAAGAGCGTTTTCACACTGAGATTCCTGTTAGACTTCAGATAGGCAGAAAATGAAATTGGCCTGTGATAAGAAAAGCAGTCAGTGTGACTAGAAGGCACAGCAATGCTTTGCTTCTGTTGGTTGCTATCTTCCTGATACGTAAAGGGAGACACTACATATTGGTCAGCGTGCAGCCATGTCACAAAGAGTCTGTTTAAATGCTCATGTTTAGGGCCCAACCAAATTCATGGCTGCAAAAACTGAAACGTGGCATGCAGCTGGGAGGTTACCACTCTGCGCAGGACTCCAGCTGCTAGTTTTGGCTTCAGATAGGGACATACAAGATTTCTTCCCCAGCAGGGGCTGCTCAGCCCCATTTCTGGGATTTTACCTGGAGCCCACCATGCTTCCTGCAGCCAGAGGTCAGCCCTCCACTCAAGCAGGAGACAGCTAGGAGAACTGGTAACCCACGCACCCCAAATACACAACCACCCTCATTTCTATGCTGTTGCTGGGAGTGGTGCTGGCTTTAGAGGGGGTGCCCAGCTAGAAAGCCTTCCTCTCTAGCTGTCCAACTCTGAAGGCAGAGTAAGGTTGACTGCCCCACACTAACTACTTTCTGGGTCATGCCTCCAGCAGTTACAATACCCTAACATTTCAGATGTAAACATCCGAGATGTTACAGAGGCATTGTCGAAGATTATCCGGCCCTCTAACTACTACCCCATGCTACTCATCCATGTGGGCACTAATGATATTGCAAGGTGTGACACTGAGCAGATCAAGAGTGACTACAGGGCTCTGGGAGTACGGGTGAAGGAGTCTGGAGCACAGATGATGTTCTCTTCAGTCCTTCCTGTCAAAGGTAGGGGCCCAGGCAGAGATAGGTGCATCCTGGAGGTGAATGCCTGGCTGTGAAGATGGTGTCAATAGGAGAGCTTTAGCTTCCTCGACCATGGGATGCTATTCCAAGAAGGACTGCTAGGCAAGGATGGGGGTTCACCATTCGAGGAAGGGGAAGACTGTATTTGGATGCAGGCTGGCTAACCTAGTGAGGAGGACCAAAGCCCCCGGGTAAGTGAATAACATGGAGACCTAGGAGATGGGTTGGAAATGGGTGGAAGCGTGGGCTATAATAGCAGAGAAAAAGGAGGGACAAGGTAGAAATGGGAGGCAAGATCAAATCAGTATCTTAGATGCCTATATACAAATGCAAGAAGTATGGGTAATACGCAGGAAGAACTTGAAGTGCTAATAAATAAACACAACTATGACATCGTTGGTATCAAAGACTTGGTGGGATAATACACACGATATTGGTATAGAAGTGTACAACTTACTCAGGAAGGACAGGCAGGGAAAAAAGGGAGGAGCTGTAGCTTTATACATTACAAATGTATACACTTGGACTGAAGTGGAGATGGACATAGGAGACTGATGTGTTCAGAGTCTCTGGGTTAGGCTAAAAGGGGTAAAAAAAGCCACGGGTGATATCACGCTAGGGGTCTATTACAGGCCACCTACTGAGGTAGAAGAGGTGGATGAGGCTTTTTTTTTTTAAACAACAAAATCATCCAAAGCACAGGATTTGATGGTGATGGGGGACTTCAACTATCCAGATATATGCTGGGAAACTAACACAGTGGGGCACAAACTATCTAATAAGTTCTCAGACTGCATTGAAGACAACTTTTTTACTTCAGAACATTGAAAAAGCAACTGGGGGGAAGCTGTTCTAGATCCGATTTTAACAAATATTTGAAAGTGGAAGGCAGTTTGGGTGAAAGCGATCATGAAATCAGAGTTTGTGATTCTAAGGAATGGTAGAAGGGAGAACAGCAAAATAGAGACAATGAATTTCAGGAAGGTATATTTTGGTAAGCTCAGAGAGCAGGATGGTAAAGTCCCATGGGAAGCAAGACTAAGGCGAAAAACAACTGAAGAGAGTTGGCAGTTTTTCAAAGGGTCATTATTAAGGGCCCAAAAGCAAGCTATTTCGCTGTGTAAGAAAGATAGAAAGTATGGCAAAAGACTGCCTTGGCTTAACCAGGAGATCTTATATGATCTAAAAATAAAAAAAGGAATCATAAGAAGTGGAAGCTAGGACAAATTACAAAGGATGAACATAACCAAACAATACAGGTATTCAGGGCCAAGATTAGAAAGGTAAAAGCACAAAATGAGCTCAAACTAGCTACAGGCATGAAGGGAAACAAGACATTCTATAAATATATTAGAAGCAAGAGGAATACCAAGGACAGGATAGGCCCACTGCTCAGTGAGGAGGGAGAAACAGTAACAGAAAACTTGGAAATGGCAGAGGTGCTTAATGACTTCTTTGTTTTGGTCTTCACCGAGAAGTCTGATAAAGGAATGCCTAACATAGTGAATGCTAGTGGGAAAGGGATAGGTGTATTAGACAAAATAAAAAAAGAACAAGTTAAAAATCACTTAGAAAAGTTAGATGTCCCCAAGTCACCAGGGCCTGATGAAATGCATCCTAGAATACTCAAGGAGTTGATAGAGGAGGTATCTAAGCCTTTAGTTATCATCTGTGAAAAATCATGGGAGACAGGAGAGATTCCAGAAGACTGGAAAAGGGCAAATATAGTGCCCATCTATAAAAAAGGAAATAAGAACAACCCAGGAAACTACAGGCTAGTCAGTTTAACTTCTGTGCCAGAAAAGATAATGAAGCAAGTAATTAAGGAATTCATCAGCTATCACCTTATTATCTTCCAGGTGTTTACAAACAGCCAGCATGGATCTGTAAAAAACAAATCATATCAAACTAA